TCTGAAACAAGCCCACGGTGTCCAGAATAGACAGAGAACAGACACATGGTTCCTCGTAAAGTAAGAGAAGGGGAAAGATCATGAAGGTTTGATAAACTATGTTAAAGTTTTTAAACTGTACTCAAGGGGTAAAGTGATGTTGACATATTTTAAACAGGGTGGTGACAAGATCAGATTATCCTGTGGCTGCCAAGTGGAGAACCCACTCTGTAGCTGCCGCTGGACCAGGGCAGACTGGATGAGGAAACATCAATTAGGAGGCTAAAGCTCCCACTTAGAGGAGGCCTGGCAAGGGTGTGAGCCATGAGATGGATAGAAGTAGCTTATCTTTGAGAGAAATTTAGGGGATTGAAATAAGATTTGGTGATTTAAGAGAAGTGTGTGAGGAAAAGGAAGAGTAACATGGTGATTCCTGGGTTAATGGTTTGGAAAAAGTTAACTCTCGTATGTTACATTGTTTGGTTTTGTAAACTTTTAAAAAATTTGCATACTTAGAGGAATGGAAACATATTACTTTTGGTGTAAAGTACTACGTATCATTTAGAATTAACAAACCTGAAAGGAGAGAATTTAGAAAAACATAATCTGATTTACCACAAACAGTATTGACTTGAAATGTAAGATAGCTTTTTCACAAGTATGTATGCAAATAAACTTATTGCCACAGAAGATTTTAAAAATGCCATCCATGCCCTTGGAATAGGCTGCTTGCAGATTCACAAATGTACATTCCAGCTTCAGATTATTTGAATCATAAAGTGGATAAAGTGGCATAGATTTTAATTTAATTCAGATAGTGATACATTTTTTGAGCCATCCACTATGATATACATATGTTATATTAGACATACAGTTTATGTAATCTAGAGGAGAAAACATAAAGCAAAAGCTGAAGGTTTCAGCTTGGGTTCCTTAGTTAACTAGCTGAGTAGGCCTCAGTTTCCCCTAAAATGGAGACTGCATTATCAAAATGATAGTAACATCCTAGTCACTTCTCAGTTTGCTGCAAGTTTCAATTATGAATGACTATTTGAGGATATATATATTTGTATAAAGATATGTGTATATATATGCACATACCTATATACATATACACATTAATGTAAATGTTATATGGCAACTCAAATTTTCCTAAGGATTCCATATATATATTTTTTGGTTTTATTTTGTTTCTTGCATCCTGTATCCTGGTATTTATCTACCCATAGTTATATATTTTTGCTGGGTAGAAAATGTGGTATTTTGCTTCTGTCAGGGATATTTCACTCCAAACACAACCCTGATGAAACATGGAGGCATCAGGACATGCTGCCGAGTCTGGCATCTCCTAGTGTGTTCACTGCCTTGGGGGGCTCATGATTATGTCACGGAATGTCCTTGTTTACCAAGCATGTCTGCGGGTTACAAAGACCCTGGGAATATGTATAAAGAAACTAGGCAAGAATGGTAAATATTTGATGTTCCATATCATCCTCCAAAAGTGTCTCTACTTTGCAATTTCTAGTATAAGAAAAGATCCTTCAGCCCCATAAACAGAGTGACATTAATCTTAGGAAGTATATTTTTCATGTTTTTTCCAACTTATACTATCCATAGAGAAATAGCAAACCTTTACTTTTCAAAAACTTATTATCCAGTGGTAAATTATTCCCAACCTTTGATTTTCCTCTTTTATTTTTTTTTCCTCTTTGCTCTTTATATTTGATGTTCACTGGTATTTCTATATCGAGTGGGTAGGATAAAATACAAACTAATTTTACTTGGTATTTTAAAAAAGGTTTATGTTGGAAGCAATTTTTACTGTTAATTTAAATGATATTTCAAAATCATTTGTATATGTTTTTCCTGCTATCAGTGCCCCATTAGCTTATTTTGTGTAGGATCTGCTACATCACCAAGAGATAAAGAATACAACCATGCATGCATATAATGGCCATTCCTTACAACTTGGCCAGTACACATTTTTACCAAGGCTCTGTTTTCAAGGTTAATCTGAGGATAGATGAAAAAAGCTCAAAAGCCATGGAATTTTTCAAAGCAATCAAAAATCAGAGAGGTTAAATCTGGGTGAAATAACAAGGGGCTTTAGTTAAAGGGTTTATTTGCTTGAAATATTGACCTCTCAAGAATCGCTGACATCTTTGTGAGAGAAGGTTTCACTGATTAGGCATGCCAAGAGCTCATTAAGAATATAGCATAAAGAAGATAAATTACAAAGTCAAAAAGGTGAACAAGGTAAATGGAGGTTACAGCAAACTAAATGCAAGTCCCCCAACTTATTGGTTTTTGTACCTTGTTCAATGTTAAGTGCACTGAGTCACTCAGCGGCAGATACAAGGGAGGGGTAAAGACATGGCTCGAGCAGCTATATGAATATTGATTGGGAATAATAATATAGCACCAGGTAGTCTAGTGCTGAATGTTTAGACATTTCAGGGGCATAGTATTTTTGCTATGTAGCGATCGTATTGATATGTAATATTTTCTCCTTTTTCCTAGAAATAAAGTACTAAGACAGAAATTTAAGATTCTGATATAATTAGGAGATATTTTTGAGGTAGATGTGTGATTGAGGACAAGAAAAGCTCTTACTAAAAGATTTTTGAATGCCAGCAGTTTGAACTTATGCATAGTAACATAAGCTATATTTTTCTATCAAACTCCTATAGTATTTACCATTTGGAGATATTAAAAATAATAAGATCCACTATATTTACCTTGATCTTTAAAATCTTAAGTGATAATTGGATGTCGTGAGATATTAATACTGAGCTAACACATAGAATTGGAACAGACCTGCAAGAATCAGATATATTACACTTACCAAAAATACAGGTAAGCAAGGGGCACAGGAAAAAGAGAGAGAGTACGAGACATTCTGCATTGCTGCCAGGTCTTTTCTTCCTGAATGGGAAATGCACATTCTGTCTCCAAGGAAGGTTTCACATGTTTACCTCTCACCGCAGGGGGTGTTTATGTTATGAAAGATCTCAATTTTTGCCCTGGAAAGTATAAACCTTCAAGACATTTTTCAGGGAGCTATTAACCATTAATCCATAAATCCTGGGTTTATTTTAGTACAATATTTCCTTAGCCTGGGATATCTTGCTAAAGGCTTTGTATAAATAAGAACTCTTACTCCTAGTAAACATTACTGGTTTATTTTATTCCTAGTTTATTACACTAGAACTTGGAGTTCTAGGTGACAAGGACAGTAGACATCCCACCCCCAATCCAGGCCGCTCCCCTACATATACATCAGTAAAGGGAGTGAATAGATTCTAGACCAGCTATTTCAATTCTTTTTTCCCCAAGTACTTATCAATGAAATGTACTGAGTTGGAATTTGAAAAAAAAAAAAAAAATTTCTTAAGCCATCTAAATATTCAGGTATGTAATGAATTTTGGAAACCAAATAAACTTTAATTTAAAAATTTCAAGACCATGTGTACAATTTCTAGGAGATCTAGAAAGCCTCCAAACTTAAAGAATTAAATAATGGTGGAGGTAATGATGATGATACTGATAATAGTAATAAAGCTCTCACCCTATGTCAAGCACTCTTCCGTATTGTTTACATGTATTATAATAGGAATCATAATAATCCTCTGGGGTAGGCACTATTATTTTTCCCATTTAGCATACACAGAAATTGAGGCATAGGGAAATTAAATGACTTAGCCAGGTTTACACAGCTAGTAGATTCTGGTGCCATTGGTGAAATCCAGAAAGCGTCACCTATACTCTGGATTGCTAAACCGTATATGAAAAGAGCACAGGCATATCAAATCCAATAGGCTTTTTATCAATAAATTATCTATAACTTATTAATAATAATTGTATTATTATAATAAATTAATATTTATCAATTTATATATTAATATTAAATAATAATAATTTTATTATTGTTACAAAAATAAAATAGAATATATATTGAAATTAATGATTAAGGTAGAAAAACATCAATTGACAATAGTGTATTGAATTTCTATTATGAAATTAGCATCAAGTGATGGGCAAAAAGGCATAGATGAAGTAGGAGATATAATAACATAATACCAGCCCCCAGAAAAGACAAGAAATGGAGTTACAGGTTATGGCAAGTGAAATACGTTTAAATATTAACATCATAGAGGTGATAATTGAAGCAATTTACAAACTGAGATAATTTGTTGTCCAAATAAATGTTATTAATAAGCAAAAATTTTAAGTTAGACATACTTTAGCATTGAAGTGACTCAGAATGTGATTTTCATTTGTAAAATCCTAAAAAATATGAAGGCTGATAAACTTAACTGAGAAATGAGTAAGAAAGAAAGAAATGTGACCTACATTGCCATGTGTTGGAAAGTGAACATCTGTCATGTTGAGGAAAGATGAAGCTTGGAAATTCCCAATGAGTCTCAACATCTAGCACTACCAGTTAAGAACAAGAAGAGATCTCAAGCCTAAGTTAGATTTCTTTTACTTTTAATTTGGAAAATATATTTAAATAACGAGGAAAAATAAACCTCTAATAATTTCAAAACCACGGATTTTAAGATTCTCAGGTATAATTTTAGATCAAATTTGAATGGAATTTTGCTGGAGCAAAGAATATTATTGAAACTTGTCTCCAGAGTAGAGTGTACACTGTCCAGAAGCATCTTGTTTTCTGACTAATGGACCCATGCAAGTCACAGAGTATGGTGGCAAAAACTCTAGCCTGGAATTTAGTCTCAGCTCTATCATGGTGTCATTTTGAGCAGCTATTTGACTCTTTGGGTCTAAATTTCTTTGTCTATATGACAAATAGGTGAAATCAGATTAAGTGATTGTCAAGATTACTTTCAACTGTGCTCCATTTTATGCTGTGTACCTATTTAAAAATAGCCTGTCAATAATTGCATGCCTGAAATATTTATTTTATAGATGGAAGTAGAGTTCCTAGAACTTTCTCTTATGTTTTATTATGTTTTTACTTCTGAAATTTTACATCAGTATCTGTTCTCTTTTTTTAGGGTGGAGTTAGTGGGTTGACTGGAGAGCTAGAGTTTGGAGAAAATGGAGGCAATCCCAATGTCCACTTCGAAATTCTTGGAACCAACTATGGAGAAGAGCTTGGCAGAGGTGTTCGCAAAGTAAGACCAGACACACTGATAAATATGTTTTTTCCAATACTGTGGTTTTGCTTGATCGTTCTCTGGGAAACATAATCACAGGACACGTTAAACTACATTGTAGTTTGAAAGAGAAAGGAGAAAGAATTAGACATTGATATGACGTTAAAAACTTAACCAAAAGTATTAAGCAACAAATTCTACACATGCCTTAGAATAATTAAAGGGAAAAATGTTGCCTAGGGAAATGGCAACATCTTTCATTCATAATAATAATTTTTATAAAGTAGTAAATTTAATATATATACAATGTGTAGCTGCTTGGTTTTAACTTTTAATATGCGTAAAATCAGAACAACTTGGATAAATTTCATACAGTTAGACAGAAAGTCTACTGTAAAAAATGACATTTCAAGCTCTATATGTGTCATGTAATAAGTAGAAAATAGTTGGCAGAAAATGTGCTCTTGTTATATACTAAAGATCTCATGTAAGAAGCAGGTAAGTGCCAGTAAAGGATGTTTCATGAAATACAGGGACAATGCCTTCCTCAAGGAGAAATGTTAATATAAAAGCCCTTGGGAAATGGATTTTCTGTAGTTTGGATTTGCTATTTTTATATATTTTTGGTAGGGAAAAACCTAAGGAAAGTGAATGTGTATGCAGAGCAGATAACTATAAATTTCACTGCATTGGGGGTAAGAGTTTCCTTAGTCGGTTTCTTTCCAGTGTTGGGATGTAAGATGCAGAAAAACCCAGACAAAATGAAGTCAGGAGTTATTCTTATCAGCAATGAAAATTTCTCAGTGAATTTATACTAAAGGAGTTGAAGCTATCTTAATGTGTTTTTAATTTTCATTTTATACACAATGATAGTTTAGTGAATTATTTTAAAGGAAACAACCACTACTATGGTCAAGAAATAGAACACACCAAACATTCTAACCACCCCCATATGCTTCTCTCTGACTACATGCTGGACCTCCCTCCTTAGGTAGTGTAATCTGGAATCTGAATTTTATGATACTTTTTATTTTACATTTTAAATATAATTTTATAAATTGTTTGCATTTTTATATAATTACGTTTTGCAAATATTTCACCTTATGAATGGACACAATAGTGCATATATTCTTTTTTCTTGCTTCTCGTGTTCGACATTACATTTGTGTTAATCCTTGTTACATGTAGTTGCAGCTTATTCATTTATATTGATGTGTTATTTTCTATTGTATGAATGTTTCACAGTCTGCTGTAGTTTGTTTCCATCTTTAGACTATTATAAGCAATGCTGTCACAAATATTCTTGGACATACATCTCAGATATACACTATTGTATTTGTGCATTTTTCTTTAGATTTTGTATCCAGAAATAGAATTGAATATATTGAACTCCACTACATAACATCAAAACCGTTTTCATAGAGATTTACCAATTTACATACTACCAGCAGTGCAGACAAAATCTATTGTCTCACATTCTAACTAAACATTGGATTTGTAAGACTTTTAAATTTTTATTGATTTACTGGATATATAATGATTTAACCTCATAGTTTCAATTTACATTTTCCTGATTATAAAAAAGTTCTACATCTTTTTCTACTCTTTTTGGCTCTTCAGATTTCTCTTTGAGTTAATTTCACATTCAAGAATTTTGGCCATTTGGGCTGCAGAGTGGGGACTGTCTTTTGCTTTTCATGATTGATTTCTAGAAGTTACCCGTATATCCTGAATATTGGTCTTTTTGTTACTTAATTATGTTGCAAATACTGCTTTCTTCTATGTGGATTTTATTTGCATGCCATTTAAAGTACCTTTAAATTTAGTAGAATTATAAATTTTCTTCCTTATGATTATTGCTATTTAGTCTTGTTCAAAAAAATCATTCCCAACCTCCCAGAGTAATAAAGATGTTATGCTCAGTTATGCTCCAAAGGTTTTATAACTCTGCCTTTTAAATTAATATCTTTTGTCTACCTGGACATTTTCTTTAATATATGGGATGAGAAAAGAGTAAAATTTTAGTCTTCATACAGTATCTGTTTTTTATTTAATTGAATATAGCTTAAATACAACAAAACACATAAATTCTAAGTGTACAATGGGTTTCAGTAATTTGCATTCACCAATGTGATCCCCACTCAGGTCAAATTATAGAACATTTCCCACACCTAGAAAGTCCCATCTTTCCTGTTTCCATTCTTAGAAACACATACAGTTTGCTTGTTCTGGAAGTTCATATAAAGGGATAATGTAGTACATACTCATGTCTTCTTTCTCACAACATGTTTTTTAAGATATATTCTTATTTTTGTGTATCAATAGTTTTATTTATTTTTCTAAAATTTATATTGCTGAGTGGTATTATAGTCTATGAATATATGACATCTTTTAAAATTTCATTTTCTGTTTGTCACTGTGGGGATAACATTGATATTTTATAATGGTTTTATATTTAACTCTCTTGCTCAGATTTTTAATTCTAATAACTTATTTGTAGATTCTTGTGAATTTTCTGCAAATTGTCTTATCGTCCGCAGTTAATGAAAGTTTTTGTCTCTTCCTTTGTAATTTTACACTTTTTATTTTTTCTTGCCTTAGTGCACTGACTAGGACTTCTAGGACGATGTTAAATGGAAGTAATAGTAGTAATGCATTTTTGAATCATGATCAATGTCAGAGAAAAAAATTTTAACATTATACTACAAAATGTAATTTTTTATTTTTCTTTTTTATTATCTTGTATCAGATTAAGGAATCTCCATAAATTCCTAATATATATATATAGATATAATTTTATATAAAAATTAGGTTTACTTAAAATTATAATTATGTTTACATTAATGTTTTTGACTGAGGTTGCCTAAAATTATTCTTTCTGTTGGATTTTTATACTAAGGTTTTCCCTGCCTAACCTAAATGAGTTAGTAATGTGAAGCACCCAAGAACAGTGCTCGGTACATCAAAAGATGTTGCAATTAATTGTGATTAATGAGAGAAATCTCAGTAGAATGTAAATGCCATATGTTTAAATAGCAATAGTAGAAAAGTAAAAGGGAAGATGAAGAAGGTCATATGTTTGGGTGGTGGTAATGAAATGGCTTTGTGAAGTTCAGGGAGGAGTTTTAGAATGTAAGAGACTTCAGTATATTTGCGTGCTCACAGACCAAGCCAGTGGAGAGGAAGAAAATGAAGATAAAGGAAAGAAAGGTGATCATTTACAGAAGTCCAGGAGAAAGAAAGAGAGGATCGGATCGAGCATTAGATGGAGTTTTTAACCTTAGGCATGAGGGACGCCATTTTCCAGAGTGATGAGGGGGAGAGCGTAAGGAAAGATTGATATGTGTGCAAGTCTTCGTGTTTGGTGTTAGGAAGTTAAGGGAAGTGTGAAGAAATAGATTATCTTTTCTTGGGGAAGTGGGAGGTGAGATTATCTGCTAAAAGGGAAAAAGTAACAGAAGACATTGGCGATAATGAGGCTGGAGATCTAAAGACAGTGAAGAAGTTTTGAAATAGCTGCTGTGGCAAACTGGAGAAAGCTGACTAGGGAACATGAAAGAGGCCAGGCAGGGCTGCTGGTTCATTTGGTTAGAGATCTAGAATGCACTGTTGCACTAATCTGCACAGTTGTGTGTGTTTGCCCAGCAGCATTCAGCAGACTGAGATAATTTGAATTAATGTAGGCTTGGGGCTTCCTGAGATTGTTTTTGTTTTCTGTTGTGTTGTTTTGTTTTGATAGCAGGACAATGCAGCAGTGAGGTTAAGGATGTTGGCAAGAGCATGGTTGGAGTGACAGAGCATAAAATCTCAATTGGATGTGGGTAGCAATGAAGGCAGGAGGTAGCTCAGCAATAGAGAGGAAGTATGGCTCAAGAGCGTAACGTATTTTCAGCACGTCAGATGAGCCTGTGTATTAATACGGATTAAATGAGAGAGGTTTGGAGCCAAAAAATTTATGTCTGGGGACAGAGTCATAATCGGAATTCATGATTCCAGGTGTAGATGGGTTCCAGGCACTCACCAAGTAATGCTTGTGAGGATGGCACAAGAGGGCTTTATTTAGCCTTCTAAGACCAATGTGGTTTAATGTAGTTCTAAGATCAAAGTAGTTTCTTCACTCTGGTCTGAATTCAAAGTCCATAATTTGTTATTTCTGCCATTAAGGTGACAATGAATCATATACATTAGTTAGCTTATGTATCCTTTATTCTTAAGTAATATTAAATAACTCCTGAAATTATTTAATTGTTTATATTTCTATGCTCCACATCCCAAACTAGATTGAAATTCTCCTATAAACTGGCATTATATAAATATTATTTGAAAGACACTATAAATATTTACTTGATGGTGCCTTATACATTGTTGACACTCAAAAAATTTTCGTATCGTTTTAAAAATTTTAAGCTTTCTTAATTCTTAAATATTTGTTTTTACAACTCGAATGTTTTTCTACTAATTGGCAATTTTAATTAATTACTGAATTTATAAAACTTCAAATCTAGCTCTCAATTAATTTTAAGACTATTATGAATTAGTTTGTAGATTGCGAACTTAATTTATAAATGAGGCAGTTCCTTTGTACAAGCATTGACACATATAATAATGTTTTCAAAGACACTTATCAAGGAAAAACATTACTATGCAAATAATTGCAGTACAGATTTCCTAGATGCATGTCCAAAATTAAAGTTCCACTCCCGGTTTCTCCATGTCTCAGAAAGAGTAAATGGCTTTCCAATTGATGAACTGTCAAGTTGTCAGTCTTTATTCTGCCGCCAGTGGCTAAGTGTATACAATGCCCGAAGCCTTATCACCTTGAGCAGGGATACTGTCAGATCTCATAAACTAAGCAGGGTTGTGCCTGCTCGGGATTTGAATGTGAAATGTACCAAGGATTCACAGTCTCAAATTTTGGACTAGTCTCTGCCATCCTGGCATTGTATGAATGAAGGTTTCATTTTTCTGAATTTGGTGAGAATGCGAAAAGAGTTATTTAATTTTCACTGCTGATGATC